ACCTCGGAAAATCGGAAATTATGGTCAATTTTTCATAGTTCGAATTTCGGATTTCGCTGGCCAGGTTGTACAGACCTACGTCACAGGGTAAACAAACCTCAAGATGCAAATATCTCCTTTTTTTTCTCTATGTAGGTATAGGACTTTTCGCGTGGCTGCTCGACGGTTTGTTAATCTGTGGAGGTTAAGCTACATTCACGCGTCGCAAGCAACCTGGCGCGTCTGCTTCTTGCTACTGCGAGCGCGCCTTCATTTCCTCCCGCACACAACAAGGACAACCGCGATGATAAAGAATTCCATTTGGCGAAATCGAGCCGAGAGCAGGCACCACGAGTATATACATATGGGTTATTTTAGTGATGGGTGGGATTTTATTTAAAATTCCTATGAATCCTAGGTTTAGTATTTACTGTAGTAAACAATTATCAATTATTCCATCACTTCTTCGGATTATTTATTTTTAATCAATCTATATTCATGTGAAGTGTAGCTCATCTGCATTTTTCTTTCCCTGGAACCTAAATGTATATTATGAATTTGAATCCATCAGAAACTAAGTCAGTCAAAATCAAATTTAACTACATACGAAGTGAAAACGATTTGTATTTCGCAAATCAAAGTGATAGTTAAAGCAACCAAACTGTGTCAGAAATGTTCCCAAATTACTGGGTAAGGCTTTTATCAGCTCATCATCTGATCCAATAATTTTAATTGTGGCATCACATTCGGCATGTCGCCGCACGACTTCTATGATACTCAAAGTCTCACATATATAATTTGAAAGGGGGGGTCTGGGGGGGCGGCGCCCCCTCAGCAGGTAGCTTTTGCTACTTGTTTTGTTTTTTGTTTTTTTTTTTTTATTATTGCTTGCGTTAAAAGAACTTCAGCTCCAAATGCTGAAGAAATTTTCTTGAGTGTTTTGACCATTAGAATTCAGGGCTGTGTAAGCATTTAAATTGTGAGTAGAGGTGAATGGAGTTATAGGAACTCAACTCGAAGGTAGGTCAAGGTCTGAGCATAACTTAAAGTGTCTCAATCCAGTGCTGATGACCCAAACTTTTTAAGTTGAACATGTTGCAGTAGAGGCTGTGCCCATAAACTGTACCAAAACTGGAAGTTGTAGCACAGTAACACAAAGAACAAATATTTGCACCATCTTGAATTTCGAGTCAGTTGTCTTCATTGTAGGAACTATGCATCGTGTGTCTTTTATTAATGAAGATGTCACCTTTCTTAAAGCACTGCTTATACTGTCATCCATCCGGCTAGTGAATACCGCAGTTTCTTCCATCTTACGTTCATCACTCAGTGCCATGTGAGCAAATGCATCAATTACTCAATGTAAGAAAGCTCCAATGGGTCATTTGTGCTTCTTACTGAATCCTGTTTTGATTTTTTATTTATGCTTATAGATTAGCAGAGTACAAAAAGATCTGTTCAACCGCCTAGTCTCTGTGTTAAATATTTTTGGAGATATAGCGTGTTGAAAAAAACATAATATATAACATCATCCTCATACCATAGTTTCTTTAACTGTGGTTTCATCAATTAATGATACACGCATTTGCACTGGTTTCTTCACCTCAAACCTGTGATGAAACCAAGATAGAAAAAACCATGATATGCATCCTTGCGGTGTATAATGTCCCTTGTTGTGTTTTACAATCGGCGATATCTCGCAATTTTTCCTCAAAAAAGGTAACGCCCATTTTTTTTTAATTCAGTATTAGAAAGTACAGATAGAACTGAGGCTCTAGGAATTTTTTTAAATTCTTAAAGGCAGGGAAACCCCTCTTGAAATTGCTGAAAATAGGACTAGTTTGATACGATATTTTTGGCAGGCTCTGGTAGGGTACGGAAGAAACAGCATTTGCTGATCGGCTGGACTCAGCCTCAGGCTTTGCCTTGATACGTCAACTCGACTGTGGGCTTTCAATTGGTCCGATTTCAATTAGCTTCCCCCCCCCTTCCCCCCATTGGAAGTGCTCTCTGAACTGTATGGTTTTTTTTACAATTAAAAATTGTTTTAAAAAATTTTATATTAGAGAAAGAACAATACAACCCTGTGAAAATTCCTTGCCTTTGCCCCATTTAAGTAAGCAGGTATGACATGACCTAAATTGATCGTTTGGTTTGCAGGTGTTGGATGAAGCGGTAGTTGTGTTGACAAGAGATCTGCGAGTACTTGGTTGCAACCTGACTTAGTTGCACGAGGCACTTAGCCATCTGTTCGTACTGAGATCATGTTTGTTAGTGATTGCGGTCATCAGAATCACGAATAGCTGTAAATACAGTGTAAAGCTAGTACTTGGATACGTCTCAATATTTCAATTTAGACTTGGACCAAGATTATAATATTGTGCTTGGGTACTTAGCTGTCATTATAATTTTAATATTGCTCTATCAGTAAATTGGTTATGTCTCTTGATTGTTAATCTTTTAGTCATCTGCCGTGTGATATTTTAGTAGATCAAACTATGTATTTAGTTTATATTCTTGTATTTTCAGTTTCTCTTGCTTTTATTTACTAATTCTTATCATAGACTTTCAACCATCTGCAGCTGGAAATGAAAAAACAGTTACTAATGTTTTCTAAAATCATCATGGGAATATTGAATGTTCATGTAAAATGAACAGCCTAGCCTGTCTTTAGATTAAAATTTTTTGTTGGTTTACCTCTGCATGGAAGTGGTACATTCTTATTTTGGGTAAACCATTAGTTTTATTTTTTCTTCAGTTGCTGATTTTTTTCAATTATGGTCAGCACACTCAGGTTCTCCTCTGAAAAGTTGCACGGAATGAGCATATGCTCCTAAAATTTCCAACAGAGTCCCCTCATGTGGATCGAACAGAGAAAACCCACTTTGAATGCTTTGTGTTTCATTTTGTATTCAGCTCAATGTGATTGTTAGATCATAGTTCTCTGCAAGTATGTCTAAAATTGAATGTAAATGAATTATAACTTAGACGTTGAGCACAACATGTGTTATTTTCAACCAAGAACAATGTCCCTTTCTATGTCTGGCGAAGGTACATGTGTGTCCTGTACGAGTATTTAATTTAACGTATTTGGAGGCAGTAGTAATGCTAACTATGAGTCTACTGCTGATCTAATCTCAGAACACTCTTCATGATAGCTACTGAGAGGTGGTGCTAGCGTAGCTGTAATTATTGATGGGGACTCCCAAAATATTGGAGAAAATTTTGCTGGATTATATGTTTCCACTCTTGACACCGGAGTTATGATTGTTTGTGACATCAATCAAACGTTGAAGAAGTGAATGCACATTAATCATGAATTAATATTCAAATTAATTTTATTCACTTATTTGTTATTGTTATTTCTTTTTTTCCTTTTAATCACATCGTTGTTAAGTATGAGTCTATCCTAGTGATATTCAGTGTTAGATACCTACTTGCTTTGTGTGTTTTAACAATTATTCTTAACAAATTCTTTGTATAGTAGGCTCATTATTTTCATGTAATCTTAATCAGTCGAAATTTCCTTTTACAAGTAAGCGATAACACATAATAATCTAAATCACACCTCTATCATAAATTGTGTTGATCTTTTTGGCAAATAGATCGTCGAATTTAAGAGCCTGAAACCTGTCTGTAACAGCATGAATGTGTCTTGAAGTAATTGGTTATCTATTAATATCCATCTGACATGAGCTTAAATGTAGCGACACATTTTTTAAGAATAACTAAATATTGGACTAAGTAGTCTTATTGCTCGTCAAATTAGTTATTAATAATTACATATGTTCTATCAAAGTTAACTGAGAATTTTAGGGGTCACATAATCTCTGATCAAATTGAATAGCACGCCTCTACTTTTAATAGGTTAAAAGACTAGGAGAAATGCATGTAGTCTCATCATTTGCTCAAAGCAAGAGCTATTTTTTTTTTTTGTTAAATTTCATTCAATCAATATTAGCAAGTAGCCTTCTTTTCTTTATCAATGTATTTATTTTATTTTTTATTTTTTTTTTTACCACGACTATCAGAAAATAACCAGGATATCATTTATTCCTTTCTGCTTCATGGTAGTCGAAAAGTTAAGTAGAACAATGAACTAAAAGAAAATTCCATGGTCTCTCTATAAAAACTTTGGAATTTAAAGTGCCTCATTTATTCTGTTGGGGTGAAGTTATGATGCTCTGCTACATGTTTCTCTCAGCAAAAAATTCCAGAGGACTTTTTTGAGTTTTTTATTTTTATGTAAGCCTTTTGGTTTGGAATAAGAGGTAATGTACTTGAAAGATGGATTAAGGATTGTTTCTTCTGGCTGTGAATATTTTGTTTTTCTTGAGCCTTTATTTTCTACTTTTAATCATTGACTACAGACAGGTTTTTTGCTCTTTTTTGTGTAAACGTCTCTTTCAGGTCGCATTATTTTTAGATTCATCTGTATCGTATAGAAGATATTAAGTTTTTAATTCAATTTTGCCTTCTTTTCAATGAGATCAAAATTAATTTAAAATAATTTTCTCTACTCTGCCCTTCAAATGGTAGTTTTTACCACTTACTTTGGAACTATCCTTCCTTTTCTACCTTTTACAGTATGAATTTAGTTTCCCTTTATTGCAAAAGGTGAACCAAGTTCATTCTTTGTTTATTTTTACTAATTTTGTAATAAATGGGCCTGTTGCAAACTTTTGCTAGAGCAAAAATAAGAGTTGTTTCTTATAGATAATGCCTCAAAAATCACGATGAGCGCATCGGTAAAGTCTGAAATGCACTCATAACTTCACAGTCAGCGTAAAAAATTTGCGGTTTTTTGAGCTTCCCGCTTCAAAAACGATACTACGGCACAGGTGAACATTTTGTAAAAGGAGTCGTTCCATCGTCGGCTATCCACATTATGGCCGACGCCAATCCGCCAAAACACGTGTGATGGGACAAGATAACACCTGAACTGGATTAGACCAAATAACAATCGGCGTGGTAACGTTCATACTTTCCACGCCCGAATTGATTGACCCTTAACTCTCCTCGAATTACGCGCGGAACTGCGGGCAAGCGTCGGCCATGATGAATATCGCCGATGATGGAGCGACTCCTCTAATGAAATGTTCACCTGTGCCGTAGTATCGTTTTTGAAGCGGGAAGCTTAAAAAAACGCAAATTTCTTCCGCAGATTGTGAAGTTATGAGTGCATTTCAGACTTTGCTGATGCGCTCATAGTGATTTTTGAGGCATTATCTACAAGAAACAACTCTTATTTTTGCTCTAGCAAAAGTTTGCAACAGGCCCATTGCCAATTCATTCTCATACTCTGTAGCCCAAAGTCAACTAAATGTATAATTTGATGCCAGTCCAATTGTGAGCAGTCATCATTCTCTGCAAAAATATCTGTTGCAATCAGATCCTCTTGTATTTGTTATCTGACAAATAATTTATTGTTTTTTTGTTTCAATCGTACATTTTTCATGAGTAGTTCTAGTGAAAGATTTTAGTTCTTCTAATCTTAAGGTAATTCTATGACTAAATTTTTATTTCATTACGTATGTCCCTTCTGTTTTAGGAATTGACAACTAAATTCTCTTTTTCTCATTTGAATTAGATTTTTAGAAATTACCCAATTAATGAAATTCATTAATTGAATTGTCACGATAAATCTTATGATGGTCAGATTAATTTCCCTTTAAACCAGCTCTTGTTTGATTAAGTCATAAGTAGGATTTCCTTTATCAGTTTTAATTATCTTCTAGAGCATATTTTCTGATGATAGATTCATGACTGAAACGTTCATTCTTATTCTTACTAAAGTGACAATGACCACAAAATTTCTGCTAAGAAAGCAGGAATATGTCCGGGAAAAGTCAGGTTTAACACATGAAAGATAAACACGGCAACACACTTCTCACGAAAATGTCATTTCGTTTCAAGTACCTTTCCAACAAGATTTTCAGTTTTCAGTTTTTTTTTTTCTTTTTTCCCTCTCTCTTATATGTGAGTACCTCCTGTTGAAAACATCTTCCTGCTCAAATTTTCCTCTAAATTCGAAGATTGATGAGATTTGAGTCAACTCTATTATATGTAGCTGTGAAATTTGTTGTACTATTAGATCCTTTAAATCAGGATATCGTGAAGAAAATTGAAATTGATGTAACAATACCCTTGTGACGCCATCATGGATCCCCCCCCTCCCCCTTCTGAAGGAGCTTTTCATCCGATCAATCAACAATTTAATGTAACTTAACTTTGATTTTTCCATTATTACTCGGATATAGTAGTATTTTAACCATACTCTATGAATTTTTTGGTAGACACACTGAAACAGCATATCTTTGTTAGAGTGAATTATTGAATATTATCATGAATTATCCATTTTCCAATAATCTTACTGTAAATTTTTAATATATGTTACTGCTAGCTGATATTTTTGCATGAATATTTTATCTCCTTCTCATTGATTTTATTATTTTTACTTTCACTGAATATACATATATTTTTTTATTTTTTTAAATTTATTTATATCTGAACATGTGGACTGTGGGTGACAACTTAGCTCTATTATAGATTATTTTATTTAGAAAATTCGTGTACTAAAATGACTTGTTAATTTTTCCTATATTTTCATGACTTGGTCTTTTATAAATATTGATGTGCTTTAAGTATGCGTGTGATTCATATTATAAGATCCATATAGGTTGTTTGTGAAAATATGCGTGCTTGTAAGAGTATTTGCGTGCGAGTATGCGTGCCTGTGTATGTATGTCATCATGCGTTGTCATGGTTTATTTCCACATTTATCCTTAGATGCTTATATTAGTCATTTTAGGGAAATTTTGGCTTGAATGATAACGTCGGTCAAAATGTACAAACTTAATATTTGTGTATCCGAAAAACTCCTATCTTCAATCTAGTAGGTAGTCTTGTCTCTTCTCATTCTTTTTTTAGTCCATGTCTTTTTCAAAAGGAAAATTGTTTCCTTTGTCCTGTAGATTCTGTCTTTTATGAAGTGGCAGGTTTTTTCTGTTCAGTTTGTTCCTAATGTGTAGGAATTTCTCCTGAAGAACTGTACTCATGCTTTATTCTGACATTATTGTCATTGTGTTTCCTTCCTGTTAAATGCAATGGTCCTATTCCATTAACAACTTTTCGTGTGTTGTGAATGTATACTTTAATATACTATACAAATCTGCCTAATATGGACAATTAATCATAAGTCTAACTTAACTGCAACTTTACTAAATCGCTAAATCTCTCAACTTTTTATCACTGAAAGTTTTACTTTGGTTCAAGTCTCTTCTTGCACTATAGTATTTGTTGCATTTAACATTTTATCTAATTACTCTCAATCCTCCAAATAATGCATTGAACATCCATATTATTCTACCTTTTCATAACTGAGTAGTCCAATTTTGAAACCCCCTCTGTAGAATGAAAATTACTGGTTGAAAATTATTTCATTTTTATCTGAGCCGGAAGAACTTAAATGTTTTAATAATGAGAAAATGTTTAAGGGTGTATTTTATCTAGGACACGTGGACCCTTCATTACCTTCATAAATATTTGTTCAATTTCAATGAATGGAATATTTGGCTCAGCTTCTTTGACAGCCCTTATTTCAAGTCAAAGTGGGTCAACTTTCAGATTTTTTCAAATGCTGCGTTATTACTTACATCAGAATTTGTCTACTTTGTCAAGTCATTTTTGGGAACGGTAATTCCTTTCTACATTCGCTATTTTCAGCTAGAGTCCCTTTATACCCAGAGTTAAGACAACTCACTTTTGGCTACCTTTTGGTTTGGCTGAAAGTGGCCTAAAAAAAAATCCAATTCTGATTGGTTCTCGCTCATGGAGGCCGAGACGAGTGCACCAAGATGGCGGTACCTCGAATGTGAACAAGAATAATGAAAATATTACCTAATTGTGGTTTATCAAGAGTAAATTGTTATTTCCGTCGGTCCAAAATGAAAATAGATCAAGAAATTATTCACAAACCAATCTCATTTTCTTTTTAATTGATCAATTTGTTGATGTTGTTGTTTTTGTGTGTCAGACATCGCAGGATTCCTGATCCTTATCCCTCAATATCGTTCGTTTGGGTGCACTCGGTTCGGCCTCCATGGCCAGCCAAAGCCGGCTGCCAGTCAGCTGATAATCGAGTTGTCTTAACTCTGGGTATAAAAGGACTCTATTTTCAGTCATTGCACATGTATTAATACCCTTCATTCAATAATGCTTGTTCCATCCCTTGTGTGTCTTGCCCTTTAATAGAAGTTATGCATCAATCATTTGTTCGAACTAACCTGTATCAGTATAAATTCATGAGATGTTGCTCAATTTCTTCCTAAGTTCACCAAGCAACACAATTCCTATTAATGTTGTGAGTGCATCCTTTATACACCTGGGGAAAAGTGTGAAGAGTTTTAAGGCATTAGATATATTTCTCAGTTTTCCTGTCCAAAAATGGAACATAGAAGAAAATTGGGCAACTGGAATCTTAAGTACACTGATTTAGTTAATGAAATATATGTATTTTCATTATAAGGAGTTGGAATTATTTTATACAACATTGACTGCCCCCTTTTTTAAAGAGACTTTTCTATTTAACTTTATTTCATGAAAATAGAATTACTCTGTTCAAATTTTAAATTTGATCACCAGTAGCAG